CGATACTTTATATATTCTGCCTGGAAATTTGATGCGCTGCCTTCCCGTCTTTTGGCCCCGTGCCCTGCCCTACCCTAGTTTGGGGCCCCTGCCCTTCTCTGCCCTCAAGCCTTGTGACACGTCCTGCCATCAGACCCCGTGCCGCTGCCTTGTCTTCAGGTACTGTGCCCTGCCCTGCCATCAGGCCTTGTGCCTTCCCATGTCCTCATGCCCCGGCCCCGCGCCCATCCTCGAGCCTAATGCCTTGCCCTGCCTCAGGCCCTGTCCTGTCATGTTATGCTTCCAGGCCTCATGTGCATTGCCCTGCCCTTAGACCCTGTGCCCTATTCTGTCATTAAGCCTTATGCGTGGTATCGCCCTCAGGCCCGTGCCCTGCCTCGCCCTAAGTTGCTGTGCTCTGCCCTGTCGTCAGGCCTTGTGCCGTCCCATGCCATCAAACACTGTGTCATACTCTGCCCTCAAGCCCTGTATTCTGCATTGCCCTAAGATCTCGTGTCCCATGCCCGCTCTCAGGCGCTGTGCCCTGCCCTGTCATCAGGCCCTGTGGTGTCTCCCGCCCTCAGGTCCCGTGCCGTTTCCCGTCCTCATGCCCCGTGCCCTTACCTGTCCTCAGAACCCGTGCTTTGTTCTGCCTTCATGCCCTGAGCCTTGCCCTGCCCACAGGCCCCATACCCTGGCCCTGTTTCACCGGTGATAGCACTAGCAGCACGCTGCTATTACACGTGTCAAATTGGGTTTCCATGGAGACATCAACAGGCCCATTGCTCAAACACTACCACAAGTATGACGTCAGCTCGCGGAATTTAATAGCAGCGTCCGTGAAACACCGCCCACGTCTTGTCATACCTTCGGGGCCCGAAGGTATGACAAGACGTGGGCGGTGTTTCGGGCCTTGTGCCATACCTGTGTCTTATGTCTTGCTCTACCTTTAGGTACTATTTCTTGCTATTTCTAGGTACTGGCCTCTTGCACCAAACTACCTAGCTAGGTAACATCGAAAAACCGGTTTCAGAATAAGCTAATCTAAGGGTGGTAAATTTGTTTGCAATAGCCCAATACATAATCCTACATGTGCTTGCTAAATTTTGCACGCAAATTGTTACATTTGAGACTTGGACTGGGTATACGATGCAAAATAATCCAAGCATCCACACCTCTAAGATCCTGCGTGTTGCCCTGCCATCAGGTGTGTTGATCATCAGGTGTTCTAAGGTCCTGTGTCTTGCACTACTCTCCGGCCTTGTGTAATGATGAGCCTCAGACCCGCGCCTTGCCTTGCCCTCGGACCCTGCATCCTACCCAGCCCTCAAGTATCCGTCTTATCTTAGCTTCATGGCCTGTGCCTGCCCTGTCCTTAGGGCTCAGACTCTGTGTCCTGCCCTTCCCTAAAGTCCTGTTTAGAGATGTCAAGTTGGAGCCCGCAGGCCCAGAGCCTGGCCCAAAATCCGGCCCTACAGGGCTTTTGCATGCACAGTGGATTGTATCATTGTTTTGAGGTACCTCATCGAAACGCATCGACTGATATGCGACATGATCTATCTTGGTCACGAAATGACCTTAATGTGAGGTCAAGTTCTGACCTTGACATTCCGAGGTAAAAATGAGAGAAGAACGATCGTGCAAACGAAAATTCTCTACCTTTTTTTTAGTTCAAAAGCTTTTCATGAAACCTATATTGACAAAAATTGTAATTTTACCCGTTTTTGTCTATGGAGCCTTAACCGTTGATCTGAACTCAATTCTGACGAAATATTGACGAAAGAGCTGTTCAAGATATATCGATTGCTTTTCTCCTATCGATTGCGCCCTCCTAGCTATAATAGTTTTTGAGATACCGGCACGTTTTCCGAAAAAAAATATCGCATCATTGCGAAGTTTGACGTTTGATGGCATACGGTCAGATCAGGGCCGTCATGGCCGTCTGGCCATAGGAGGATATAGAGGGCCAGAGGGGGCCACGGGGCCATGCTCCCCCCCCCAAAGCCCCCGGAAATGGCACAAAATCGACACATTTCTGGGCATAATAATTAAACAAAGGAACTTCCATTGGGAAAAGTTTGGGTTATATTACATGATAGGCAGTAAGGAAGCGAAATCCGAAGCATCCAAAGCATCCGTTCATCCAAAGCATTAATCTATGATGGATTTTTTATGTAGCTTTAAAATCCGATGATTTCTTGTCACAACTTAGGTGGGTACTGTTTGACCTTACGTCATCTAATTATTTCAAACACATAGTATCTTCAATGCAAATTGGCAAGTCAACCTCTATTTTGAATCTTTTAATATGTGAGATGGTGCTTTTTGCCATGATGAATAGATATAAATATGTGAAAATGATCAATAACATGGCAGAAATACAATAAAACAATAAAATAATAGTTTTTAAAATAATAGTTACAATAAAAGTTTTACATTTCTGCCATGTTATTGATCATTTTCACATATTTATATCTATTTTGAATCGATTGATAAGGGTGAAAAACGCATGAAGAGACGTATGTATCACATTTTAATCATGTGCATATTCATTTTTATTCTCTAAGCATAGGTACAATTTGGTGCGTCAAGGGAGGTCAAACACGCCCAACGCCGTTCAGGAAAACGAGTGACTAACAACAATGTAAATGTCATTAAATCGCCGGTCCGCCCTTTGAATGCGAATAAAGAACGCACTACGACTGGGCGAATTTCGAGACTGGCCAAAAGCAATCACAGCCTGCTCCCAATATCCCGCTTGCAGTGCCCCTCCACCAGCACAGTACACAATGTATCTGTAGATTATCTCACTTGCATTATATACTATTTCGCTTGCAATGTGCCCTTTCCGATCAAAGCGTGTGCCCTATGCCACCTTTGGGACGCAGTGAAAAATCCTTAAAATATGCCCTGACATCTACTGATGCAGCCGTTTGGATAGCATACATAGACATTGCATTTATGGTGCTTACGATAAATCATAATGCATCTAATGCCCTCGATGATGTCAGTCTGCAAATGACCTTGCATTCGACGCACCCATAAACCCTGACCGGGGATAATGTAGCCCGGAAAAGCTTTAAAGAATGACAAGATAAGACAGGGCAAGGCATGTGCGCACTACGGTTCCGCTCCCGACGAATCGCGCCGCCCCACCTGGATCACTGGATCAGTCTTCTACCATCCCTTGGCCATCCCATGGTTCTTTAGATGCCGACAAAATGCGCAACCCTGCCCTGGATCTCGGACCGAATAAGACGGCCAAGGCCGTGTAATTCGAACGACCATCTACGACTCAGAGTGGCGCCTGAGTGATTGCCTTTAGCCACTCATTCATAGAAGTAGTTATAATTCATAGAAATGAGGCGGCGGCTGCGCTGCGCCCGAGGTGTCAGCTCCCGACGCCCGGTGGCTGGGAGCTCGTTCAGCACTCAGGGCAGCCTGTCACAGACTGCCACTCTCAGCAGAATGTTTCCAGCGAGGTGGGTTCCTGCGCAGAACTCATCATCAGATCGCTGACAGATCGCTGGTAGCAACGGCAGCGACGCGTGCGAGAAATGTATGCTACATTTACAGATCGTCTCTGGACGTGACAGGTTATTTGAGGATATGGACCTTCTGTGTATCTAACTAACGGACGGTATATAGCTGACCATATGACTGTCTGTTGCCATTGGTCTGTAACGATGCCGAAGTCCGTATCTGTGAGATATTGTTTGAGACGGTGTCGACTGTCGGTGTTTTTGCGACAGCGGACCATCAGAAGCTGTGCCAGACTGTCCTTGGTTACACCAGACCGTCTGTGACTATAACCTACAGAGTAGGATTATCTGTGTAGAGCATTGCGACTGTTGCAGACGGTTTGTACTGTAGTAGTGACTCTGAAGGACCGTCTGTAGTGACCGTGACGAACTGCCTCGCTGTGACGAACAGCAGAGCACGCGTCCTGCAGGCGGCCCTGTCCACTGTCCACCGATAGGTCAAGGCGACGTAGGCGGCGGACAGTGGACAGCGGGCTCCTTGACCTGGACAAAACACCCGAAACCCGACACCGAGCCGCCGTCAGCATAGCATCACACCGACTCAGCCCGGCCGGCGGCCGACAGTCTGCCGGGCCGACCGAGCGAGCGGCACTCGTCCCAGCCCTGACCCAGCACCCCATCCATCCTTGACGGTTTCCGCAAACGTGCGTCCTTGTACCGCCAGCTCGCAGCGCGGGTGCGGCCACTCAAATCCTGCCCTTTCGGCGGCACGTGCTGTTAAACGACCGCAACTGTCTACGTGTAATGGGTATAATCTCAGGGTGAGAGCTGACGGGGGCGTCCCTTCACAGCACTCGGCCCCCGGGGCACGCCGATTCTCCCACCGCTCGCTCGGCGCCGCGCCGGCCCGGCCGGTCGCCAAGCCGCCTCTCCGGTGGGATTAGATAAGGATCGGCGAGTCGAGTGGTCCCTGCGTCAACACTGGCCCCGGTGGCGCTGTGCCACAGAGCGGTAGCGTCGGGGGGCGAGCGGCTGCCTCGACCGTCGAGGGGGACGGCGGCCATGCTTGGTGGGGCGACGCCCATACTAAAGGTACGGGATTATGCTTGTGAGATGAGAGTGAGACCATACATTTACGGGACAAGATTGAGCTATCAATAGAATTACAACCATCCTTTTATGGGGCGGGATTTGAACTAGAGAGCATTACAACCATGCTTGGTAATACGGTGATCATCGACCTCTGTTAGAATCAAAGCGACCGCGCGTCCAAGCAGGCATGTCAGAATGTCACTATATCAGTGAGGCATACATAAGCTCCGGGTGGGTGGACCGGGAGCTGACAGTGAAGTTTTATCTGGAAAGCTGCCAGAAGCTGTATGAGAGGAATGGTGATTTGTGATTTTGGGGCGCCCGACTTCAGAGGTCATCGATGTTCGAGATGTAGTTACAGCAGAAGACATTACAGTGACGGTAAGGGTGATCGGGAGCAGACGGCGGCGCTGTTTAACTATACAGAGCTTTGCCTGCCAGTCTCACCTGAGCCGTGGCCGAGGCCGATCGAACTGGCCGAGCTGTGCGCCGGCCCGCCGGCCGCGAAACTCTCCCGTCTCCGGCGCGTGTCGTCCGAGCTGTGCCGGACCAGCGGCCGCCGGTGGCCACACGCCATGGCCGACTCGTCCACCGAGCGGCGACTGAGCAGCGGCGGCGGCCCGGTCGTCGCTGGCGACACGGACAGACTGCCGCTGCCGCTGCCGCCGCCGCCCGACGCGCCGCCCACCCCGGTCTGCAACAGAGGGGCAGACAGCGCGGTCAGCACGGTCAGTCGGACCTCAGACAGTGGTTTATACCAGGGATGCGGAGCCGTGGAAATTTCAAACGGCTCCGGCTCCGGCTCCGGCTCCGGAGAAAAAAATCGGCTCCGGCTCCGGCTCCGGCTCCGGGTGAAATGTTATGGCGGCTCCGGCTCCGGCTCCGGCTCCGAGTAACATGGTTCGGCTCCGGCGGCTCCGGCTCCGGCGGCTCCGGCTCCGACTCAGTACATCCCCTATGCAATCAATTAAATACGGGTGGAAGAAAAATTGGCTTGGTTATACGCGTTACCTACTCTTGCCATGACCGGCTCACCGCGTCCCCGCGCAAACGCACCTCGGAGAGAACTGGCAGAACAAAGGACTAGGAAGCGATGGCATTGGAAACGCAGTCGCCGCGAATCGGAGTTCACTGAACCATCGTAAGCTGACACCCATCTCGGCGGCATTGGGGGGTGGGGGTGGGGGTGGGAAGAGACGGTGCTGGGAGTCGCAGTCCACTGCACTGGCTTCAAAACAATGGCGGTCACCTGATGACCGGTCCTCATGTTCTGGGGATGCAGTAGACGTGAGGGGGGGGGGGAGGAGCAGACAGGAAGTTGATTGCGTACTGTGGGATACTGGGGATATTCGGCTTTTTCATTCACTTGATGGCCCATGACGTACTATTGGTCTCAAGATAAGGGCCCAGGCGATCTGTAGTTTTGATGCGGTGAATACCCTTACCCTCGCCACAACTCGGGCCGAGTGCACCCCTCCTCCCAGCCAGCGCCACCCCCACTCGCATTGTGGCGAGGGTGAGGGTATGCACCGCATCAAAACTACAGGTCGCCTGGGCACTTATATTGAGACAATAGTACGATATGTTTTACTGCCTTGTACTGTCAAACCGAACTAGGTCAATTATTTTTTCCTCTTCAAAAAATAAAAAGGAGCCGGAGTCGCCCCCTTTTTTGGCGGCTCCGGCTCCGGCTCCGGCTCCGGGCTATATTGTTTCACGGCTCCGGCTCCGGCTCCGGCTCCGGGCAAAATATGCCGGCTCCGGCGGCTCCGGCTCCGACTCCGGCTCCGGCTCCGCATCCCTGGTTTATACATACACAGGCATACAGCCAGTGGTGCGGCGTCAGACGTGATACAGTACACACGAACTGTAGTAATGCAGTATCAGATCGCCGTTAGATCACACTCAGCACAGACACTCGTGACGACACAGATTAGGTCAGCGGGTCATCGGGTGAATCACTCAGATGAATGGATCGAGTGGGTGTAGCTTCAACTATGTAAGACAGCAGAAGCTGTTGGACAAAATAATCGATGATGACGAGTTGGTTTTGGATGCGTGGAAATCTTATCACTGTTGAGAGGCAACATCATCAGCATGTTTGCACGTCAAGTCGTCAAGTCGCCACGAATTCGGTCGAAATCTGGAGCATACGACATTAATAAAAAGTCGCTGCTAGCAAGTCTGTCTCTCTGAGATGCAGACGGTACGACGTTTCGTCACCTCATCTGTCTGATTACCTTGTTTTGCTGCCTTGTGTCTCTTGAAATACTCAGTAAAACTGTGACAGATCGCAAAATAATGACACAGTAAGCCTTAAAAGTCGGAATCAAAACAATGCCACTGTCCACATACAGACATTGTGGTAACAAAATATGCTTATCAGACTGAATAATCTTCCGATTTATCTGGGTAACGGGGAGCGGAGTCATGATTCATCGAACCGCAGCACCCATCTGTTCCGGCTAATCGGCAGCAGCCGCCCGGTTTCGCCATGGGTTGCGGTCTCTGGCGTGACGTGGAAGGGCCGCCCCGTTCTGCCGACAGAGACACGCACACACAGAACCCGTTCTGACCTTATTTCCATTCAAGCGCACCGCCCAGTCGCCTTCTCATGGCCCCATCATAAGGCGCACACCGCCATGGTCTGGGTAACGGGCCGCCGCGCCGATCGGGCGGTACAGCCCAACGAGCCCGGTATGTCGGTCGACCGCTTTTACTGGGGACGCCCATTGGGGAGGGCCGCCCCAGCTCGATCTGGAGACGAGCTCAGCCGCGCGGCGCCCTGCTGAGCGGCTCGGTACCTGTCTCCGTTCTAGTGGTGTCAATTTCAGAAAAGGTATGTCCAAAGTCCGTCCAATGTCCAATGCTTGCGTCGGTTGTCCGTCCAAAAATGTCCAAGCCAGCCATTTGTCCAAAGATGTCCGACACCTACGCAATAGTTTACACTCAACACTGTTATTTAATTTGCTTTTGATGTACCGTTACAAGCTCAAAAGTGTTAATCATATCGAAAGCTGAGCTTTCTAACAGCCAATCAATGTTAAACACGACTACTTTTTAAAAATGTTGAGGTGTAGCAAGCGGTTGTCCAAAGTTGTCCAAAGCCTGTTGCCATTGTCCAACCGAATTCCGAATTGGACATTGGACAAAATCGGAATTCGGAAGATTCAAGTTCCGATTGACACCACTACTCCGTTCCCACAGTGCGCCTAGCTCCACCGGCGGACGGGTTGGGTGAGCCGACCGGCCCGCCGCGCCGCCTGCGGTCGACCGGTTCGGCTCCGACGGCGGCGCCAGTGCGTCTCACATCGGCACCGCTGAGCAAGGAGGCCGGGTAGGTCGGAATTGTAACCACGTAGACTCAAGTGGGACGCTTGTTTGAGTAGGTGATGTGGTGTAAAGATTGGGTGGAGACAGCGGAACCCACAGCGCCTAGTTGCTGTGTCACCAGCAGCTATACCGTGTGAGGGTAGCAGCCGGCGTAGGATCATCTGGTCAGAATCCGACGTGAGGTTAAACTGACGTCAGCCTACAATGACGTCATGCCGCACTGACACGACGACACGTCATCCGACAAAACCTTGACATCAGGTCATCTAGCATATTTTAGACACCTCGTCATCCAGCTATTGGGACACCATACCTACCTACATAGTTGCAACATAGTTGCAAATAATTACATTCCGCAGCCCGTCACACCGGTCCAACTGTCTTGTTTACATTCCAATCACAATCGCCACATTATCTTGTACTACCCCTCCCCCCGCCCTTGCAGCGAGGCAGCGAGGCACTGAGGTGCGACTACCCCTCCCCGTCCCGACCACAGACCAGTCGCAGACCGGACGGCCGCCGCCAGCTCAGAGACACTGCGCAGAGGGCAGTCCCAGGTGTCATCCAGGCTATGTGTGCTGGGAAGCTGAGGTGACGAGGCGCCGGACCTTGTGCTCGCTCGGCGGCCCTGTGTCTCTCTGTGTTGAGTTGGGGTGCTGAGATGACGCGGCGCCGGGCCGCACCGGCCCTGTGCTCGCTCGCTCGGCGGCGCTCCACGCTGCCCCCAGCGGTTGCTGACTGAGGCGCCCGGGCGCGGGCCACGCCCACCCGAAGGACGCCCGATTGCGCCATCGCTCGGACCTGCAGCCGGCCGGTAGTGAGGCACCGGGCAGATGGAGACGTCGGAGCAGTCACTACCTGTCGGTATTTACAGACTGCGGACGGAGCAACCACTATCAGCCAGACTGGAAATACGACTGAAGGAGGGACAACTGCAAGCCGGCATCCGGCACGGCCGATTGAGCCATAGACGGAAGACTGGTCCGGTCACAACGCAGACAGGTGCTGGGGAGTGGGACAGTCTGCTGTTGCAGACTGCGAACTGGTCCGGTCAGACTGCAGACGGACCAAATCCTGCAGGCAGGCCATACAGGTCGCAAAGGATGTGCGGCAGGCCAATACCAGGCTACCTGATCAGACTCTTCGCAGCAGACACCAGACGCCCATTGGCGGCCCACTGACCCAAACCATCTCAGGCCAATCACACTGTCAGCAGCAGCCGCCGCCCCGGCGCAGTCACGAAGATCGTGGAGTGCTCCTGCAGCCGATGGGGAACGGTGTGACAGCTGAGAGAACGGCCCTTCAGCGGAGGGAGCGGCATCGACAGCAGGTCGTCAAACGGTGCGACAGATTGTGGAACAGCCCACCAGCCGGTGTAACGGCAACATCGACGACATGTGGAACAGCCAGCACAGGTTGGACCAGTTTGACAGCAAATAAAGCGGCCTGACAGTGGGTGGAAGGCCCGACAGCCTGTCTCAATTGAGATGTCGAGTCGACGGCCCATAGCGTCGACCACCTACAGCGCTATTGGAACAAATAGTCGATCGTGAAATCTCACACCGGCACATATGAGAGCGCAGGACAAATTTTAAAAGTCACGGGAAATCACCGCAAATGTGAGCCGGCGCTTTATTGCACAAAATCACTGCAAGGATTGAATGCTATTGGAACATATTGCAGAGAGCACGCCTTGAGGTGACCCCAGCTCTCTTTGGCTGAAGCGGTAGGCCATAGCTCTCCCAGAGCTGGGATGGCTGGCTTTATGTGTCGTTCCAACTTGGATGGACGGGCTGCACAAATTTACCACTTTGGACGTCGTGCTCTAATCATATTTGATGTAAAAATATTTTGTTTTTATTCATTTTTCTGGACTGTTAAAATCTAAAATGTTATGCTTAATATTTCATGAAGTGTGTGTAATTAAAAGGAAAAGTTTAACCAATGCGTGCATGCTTTTCACCGATTTCATGCCTTGCCAATGGCACACTCCCAATCTTTGCCAATCGCTGCCCGCGGCGTCTGGCGGGCTGCGGCAGCTCTGCACCGACCTCATCTCACGCCCAGATACCCAGGGAGCGGCCGCAGCCGGAGGCGTCCGTCTGTAAGCCCTCGGCCTAACGACGCGCCCACAGACCGAGAGAAAGTGGCCGCCGGCGAATCGCGTCAGGCTCAGCCGCTAATGTCGTCCCAATCTTGTGCTGCAGGCCGGATGGAGCCAGGGTGCGGCATCCTGCGGCGGCGCAGCCTCCAGGGGGTGGTCTGGCGCCGCCCTCCGGTCTGTTGGTCTGTGGATGTGACTCACTCCACGGACCAGCCTCCAGAAGACCGCGCGCGGACCGCGATCAGTTGGTCTGCAGT